ATGACATATTGACCCTAACGAATGATGCTCGGTGCTAGTGATGAGTTTCGGCACGGAGTTTGCCGAGCCTGCTTTGTCCCGACTATGACGCACAAAGAAATCTCCTTCAAGCGGCGCCTATTTGCTATTTGGCGTATATCCATTTTCCTGCTGTTGGTGACATTCTCATCGAGGTCGTTCAGGGTCGTTCGCTCTCAGATCCAGGACTCTGATTGGAGTTGCAGCTGTTCAAAGGTCGGCATCGAACTACTTATTGAACTTATGGTCGTTTGCGAGTGCACCGGTAGTCACAATTGAAGCGACCTGGTGAAATCACGTCGGGAAACAATGACGACGCTGATACGTCACTAGGCTCTCTTACTTCCTTTCGAAACAGGGGGCAAGCCGCTATAGACTCCTTCACAAAGCGCTTTGGAAACAAGGTTGAAGCGAGTACAGAAACGCATAGATGGCATGAGAACTATAATCCACGCCAGAAGCGTCCGTTTCGTTTCGTGCGTGTCTTCTAGCTATTTGATACACTACGCGCCCGTCCCTACTCGTCTTCCATACTACCGCCACCACCTCGATGCCCTACCCGTCCATCCCCGTAATCTCAGCGACGAAGGAAACCTCAAGAAGCCATTGCTCTTATCAGGAGGGATACAATGATGAATTTCAAAGCACCGGTCGGCGCTATTCTGCCCATGTTTTCTCTCGCTGATGCGTGTTTAGACAAAGTCCTTTTTGATGGCCAACCAATCAAGAGAGGAATAAACGAGGTAATGAAATCGCCAAACTAACGATATGGCACGTCTTCCCGTCATTGCGTGTCGTATCTTTGCTCAGCTTCTCCCTCAGGACACCTAGCCTAACCATCCCTGAATCTTGAGCTCGTGAGTATCGTACGTTGCAACGCGTCTTCGTCGTTTGACCGTGGATCCAGTCTACCTCAGCACTTATTCGGATTGACTAGGACAGCAGTTCGTAACTAGTTTATACTAGTTGAAGAGTCGAATAATGTGTCATTATCGTCCGGCAACACTTTGATTAGTACAATGCAAAAACGCTGGACTGTGAGTACAACGACTCGGTCCGAAGTGTACTACTCTGTACTGAAATAGCTGCCGTCTCGTTGTATATATCCGGAAGAGGCCAACGAGGACGAACACTGTTCGACGATCTCTCAGATTAATATTTTCTGTGAGTATTGCTATTTTCCCTATGCTGATGCACTGCTAACGCCGATTGTATGTAGTAACGTTGCCTTGAAGAATGTTGTCCAACTGTCGGCCCACCATTTTCTATCCGTTCGATTTAATCTGCACGGCATGGCTCGCACATGCTACATACTGCGCTTCTGCCACACCTTTGATTTTTCTTCCGGGACTCATCTAGGCTGTTATATTGGCCGTGACACGCCCAGGCTCAGAGATACCGCTCTGGAGATCTGTCCACCTGCTGCTTAGTTTAAGATGACAAGTTCTGATGCCGAGCATTTCCGCTCGAAAAGTTAAGTTTATTCAATGGCATAAATTTGAATGTGCGCTTCATTGACAAAAAAACGAACTTGGAATGCTCTTTATCTCAGGCTTGAGCTGATTATCTTGGGATGAACCAGAAAACATCAGGCCATGAAAATGCCTCGGGCCGCAAACTTTAAGCTACTTGCGATCGACGCTATCAAGTCTTCGATCCAGAGCGCTTACTTCGATTGCCTTCTCATTTTTATGGTTAAATTTAGATCACCTACTTCATGGGGCGTAAGAAAGGGAGCACGTTCACTTCGTGCAAGGTCACCCCCGCATATAAGAAATAGTGACTATCAGGACAGGGACAGCAACCAGGAACAGCGTAAATATTCGTACTTCAAGGTCGCTTGCGAACTACTTAGCATCCCAGTCTCCACGGTAAGGAGTAGATTGTTTAAACGGCTTCGCAATTCCTTCATTAGCGAATACAGAAGCAACCTTGTAGATAAAGAAATATAAGAATTGATAGATTTTCTCCAGTCACGGATCGGGATTTTCATAAACTAGAATGTAGGATCCTATTCAGGTTACGTACCAGGCTGCTCAAAAATGCTATTGCTTAGATTGCTAGCTGTATAAGCTTAATTAGTAAGAGGTCAAAAAGACATGAAACAGGTAATCGCGAAAGTTGAGATATGGGGCATCGAACCCCGAGCTACTGCGTATACCGCACTTATACAATCCCATGAAAGGCAGTAATGTTAGCCGTTACACCATATCTGAGTCGAGTTGATCTGGCATTACAAATTATAACACCTGGGAATTCTCTACCGAAGAGATAATTGACCATTCACAACGGGAAGACCAAAAGCGTACCTGTTCCTGCTAACTCTGGACCCGCTAGTGGGAAGAACGGAGTTATTCTCAAGGTAGTGTTGTATGATGAACAGATCGGGGCGAAAGTAGACACGAGAGGGCTTCTGGACGGTGGATTGATGTGGTACAGGTAATTCCGGAAATACTAGGACAATCTTAGGAAAAGTGACTCCGACCAGCAGCTCCTAAAATGATAGAGTAGATCTTTAATTTATCAAGTAATACAGGTACTTAACAATGACACCAATAAACTCGAAGAATAACATAAGAGAGAGGGGGTAGGGGGGTTACACTGTACAATCAATACTTCCATTCGCCTCACCAATACCCCCGCCTACCCATAGCAGCGAACCCTGCTCGCCTCTGAGCACCCTCAACCTGATACTCCAAATCCCTCGAAACCAGCTCCGCCCAAGCACCCTTCTTCTTCGCTGCAGCCTCCAGCTCCTTCGCACCCACATTCTCATACTCGTGGACCCGAACATTCCGCCCTCTTTACGTCTTGTACGTCCCCCTCTCGCCGGTATAAGACAATCTTCTCAAAGCGGGGAAAGAATCTTCCCGGTTGAGCGCTTCAGTAAACGCCTTGCGCGTCCTCCCCCTGGTGTCGGTGTCCCCATTGAGATTGATAGACTGGAGTCGGGGTGCATTCGAGAGTTCGCCCAGGATGAAGTCTTTCGATGGGTGATTGCAGCCTCCGATATGGATTGACTCGATGGACGGGAGGACATGTCGGAGGACTGCGTCGATCTTAGCATCGAGGAACGGTCAGCGTATACAAAAAGAAATCTAGGGAGTGACTGTACCTCTTTGATTCCCATTGTCCAGGCCTCGAAGCTCTTCAGGCTGTTTGCTGATCCGGCAAACATGGGGGCCAGTTTTTCGAAATTGGACATGCAGCGTTCAAAGGTGACTGATTCTAGTGCACATATTGCCGGAGGGATCTTTGAACAGTCTTCGCTGCCGTTCGTGTCCCCAGCGAGATACAGCTAGTTGACGACATTCTCAGTACAATTTAGGAGACCATATACGATAACACTCACAATCCGCAGGTTAGGCCAAGACGATACCAATTTCATCAAGCTGTACTGACCGAAATCCGTGCGCGCAGATGTCGTAGCATTGTGAGAAAAGTTCTCAAGATTCTTCAGCGAGCATAACGCAGTCATGAGCTTTTCTCCAAGACAATCAGAATACGTGTCAAGGTGGCCAGACTAAAACGATGCGTGAAATACCGACTAATATGATCAAATGGACGGCACTCACGAAACTGAGGTTCAGGGTAGTGAGATTGGATGTCCTGGAGGAGAAGCCGAGTCAAAACACGACGCATAGTAAAGGCAGACTTGCCATTTTAGTAGTTCGACGATTTGCTCACCTCATCACCATCGTAGTTGCGAGACGTACGCACGCGTACTAAGCCAAGACCATGGATGTGCTCGATGTCGATCAAGCAAGGATTCGATATCTGCCCGGGGAATCACACTCATTCACATCCTCCCCTTGCGTCTGTCTGTAACACAACCCAACTATCAGCCCACTCTTCTTGACATATCTATAATATTGCACTAGCTTCCGATGATGGTTCTTCATCAGCGTCTCACCAACACCAACACAAATTTTCGCTGGATCGCATAACGCCAGCGCCGTTCTCCATACCAGCCGCAATGACGCCCCAGGTCGACGACTGTCAACGTAGGCGGGTGAGCCTATATTGACATCATCGGCGGCGACTCAGCAGTATTGCGACAAGACGGCGTACTTCACTGTATCCTTCATAGCCCCATTTGGTCCCGACTGGTCATCTATCCCGAGGTCGAATTCATTCTTGTCGAGAAAATTGGGGGCCCAGGTTTCGAGCTGGCTCTTGTTGAAGGACTCGTTGAGGGCACCAACGACCAGGTAAATGTCTAGGTTCTGTGGATCTCCGTCAGTTGCATCATGGTGGAAGTAAATCGTGCGATAGGACGACGTCCGATGGAATTTCAATTTCGCTCTGCCCTAAAATCCTCACGTGGAGGATGCCACGTGCATTTGATAAATTACTTCAGTCCCGGGCCGGCAGATGCTTTTAACTTTTAAGCATGGCTTCAACGTCAAACGAGCTCGTCGTAAATCCTGGAATCGTTGAATAGCTGCACGACGACTATCCAGGATATATGGCTAAGGTTAACTCCGCATGCTTTCTCACTAACCGACGTTTTCACCCAATTTTCACCAAATAACAACTCCACAGCCCAAGCAAGGCCCTATGTGAACAACCGAGCGGTTATATCCCCGTTCAAAACTCGTTGCTACCACTCCTCGACCACATCAAGGATATTCAAGATCAGAAATTCCCCAGATATCCCAGGTATCCCAGATTACTGCACCATTTCATCCTGCGCCCATCAATTCAGATAATCGATGCACGGGATACGCCCCGCTTCAGTGACATCCTTCAGTACCTTTGGATACGAACGGTTCATTGCCAACGGCAAGTCGACGCTTACAATAACGATCTGCGGGACTCAATGCAGACCTGCCCGGGTACAGCAAGTACGGGAAGGACCACAGCTATCAGTGAATTCGACCATTCAGCATACAGCATTCCCGAAAGTCCGCTAATTGTACCAGTGCTTAGCGCTCGACACTGACTCACATATACTGTCTTCTAGGACCCGCTCATTATATCTATTCCCGTCGCACTTCTAATACCGCAAGGTTCAATGATGGGCGCTCTCGCTGGCTCCTAGGATCGTGCACTTATCGACTCCTCGAAACTCATGGTCCTCGGTTTACCTTCCCCATCGATAACACTGTGAAACGTTCGGGTCCCTACTGCTGGTTTAACAAAACCTGAAAACGTCTCCTCGTTATGTGATGCTCTAAAATATATTCATTTCCGGGGTACTGGTCTGATTTTGTGGTCAAGCGCTATGAACACCGCCATATCAGTATTCTCGATGAAATATCACGTCATCTCAGCGGGTATTTTACAGCTTAATCAGCCCTAAATTCACATCACAGTTCGCATGAGAGCACAATGCCGTACCCATTGTACCGGAAGCATGGAACCAACTAATGCGATACCTTCCATTGAACACATCCACTTATCATGGTTCGTGGCCTCCCCGATACCTCGTGTGAGCTGACGATATTATATCCACCTGAACAAAAAGAACACTTCGACAGCAGCGAAAAAAATGCTGTTTCATTACAGCGTCCTGCGTGACATGGACCTATAAAGCCTTCCTTTTTCTCAGTGATATACTTCAATCTCCCTAGCTCATTACCTGCTCCCAAATATGTCATCCGGCGAGCAAACGACCAGCCCTCGAAGCCCGTCAAGGGTTTCACGTTGCTTTGCCACCACTTTCTCATTCCTAGTCATAGTTCCAGCCTTATGCCTTACTCTCTCTCTCTCACGCAAAATTCCGGTGGCGAGCTTCCGTATATTACGAATGCGAATTTGACGGACGGGGAGAATAGAACCGTAATACTCCTTGCTCATTCGTTGATACTTACATGCCACTAATACGAACGGAAGCTCATTTTCCAGGTTGACCTGGTCTCAGCTGATCTTCCTCAATCCACTATGCTCGTGGATTGGTCCATCAGTGAGGATAACTGCGAGCTTGATTGCCCGACAGTTAACATATTCTTTGACACGTGAGTCATTTTGTGTATGGTTTTCGAGACATCTACCATATAAATATCCACTATGGAGGAATATATCTCCTTCAGATGACAGACGTGACGATGGCCCTTCCAGTAACAACAGACCTACAAATCCCATCTTTATATGGAACAACACCGCCCGTCACGATGACCCGTTGAGAAACGTTGCTACCTTCCGCACGACGCACATCATCGGACCAGTGTACCAACTTTATATTGTTCAGTACAACCTGATCAAAATGATCAGTTACGGAACTTTGAGCCACTACCTTTTCGACAGGTACTATACTCGTTTGGTCGCGTTGCTGATCTGACCCTATTAACCGATGTGTCAGTTACGCTTCACGCATATTCACTTTTGCTGAAGAGACATTGACAAACAAGCCTGTCTCCCTTGCCGTTCTTTCATTATCTCGGTCCCTTGCGTAAAGTTTCTCTTCCGTTCTCATTTGACCTTCTGACGGAATTTCTCTCAGCGACTTCAAAATTACAATTGTCAATGATTACAACTCCTCGGACCTGCGGGAGATCTTTGGACAAGAAGTCATCGTTGCAGATGTAATGCTCCAACGCAGTACCCTTGTTATCGGATACTGTCTGGTCATCACCATCATATGCTGTTCAGTTTTCCTCTTATACTCCATGGATTTTCTGAGCTCATGCATCTCCTTTATATGCATAGGGATGGTCACTCTCATGATTTGCCTCATAATGATCACAACCGTAGTCTTCGGCTACCGGCAACGGAACGAGATCGTTGTAGTACCAATCGGGACTTTGTTTGCCTTTACCCAACTACGATCCAGCATGCCCGGGGCTCCAGAAGGGTTTGGTACGTCGTTCTCTTCCCCTACATGGGCCAGGGCCTTGACTCACTGAGCACCAACTCCACCAGGCGATATACTCGGCACGTCATACTTGATATCGGTGGCCATCAGTTGACTTACCTCTTCCCTGCGCAGATTTCGCGGGGCTACTGCCATGCCTCGTCCTCCTGTCAATCTGCGTACGTGCATAGATTTTCTCTCGTCCAAATATTTATTGTCGCATGATAGGCCGTGACAATGATTGGCATTTACTTATTCACAGACCCACATGATCCGTCTCGTAAAGCCTTTGCTTGGGACGAATTAGGTGCGCCTTCATCAACAGTCTGATGAAAGAATACTCAGCGAGCTTGCAGCGAACGTGTTGCGTTTGTTTACTCAGCGCATTTGGAACACCACCAAAATATGGGCACACTGTGT